GGCGGAGGCTCCTTCTGACCGCCCTCCGTCGAGATGCACGCCGGACTCTCTGGAGAGAGTCTTGGCGATGAACTTCCCCTACTCTTCCGGCCTTGCCCCGATCTTTCCCGGCGAAGGCGATCGGGCGGATCGCCCGCAACACTGCATCGCGATCCACGATGACTGCATCTTGTACGGTTTCCAGGGCAGGCTTTCTCGGATGGTGGTCGACTTCTGCCGCTTTGTCGGCATCTGCCCCAGCCAGCTCCACCCTTCTGTGTGGGGCCTCCTTTGTGCTTATCAGGTTCTGTCGGACCTGTCCAGGATCCGCATTTGCGGCTCCACGGTACTGCTTTCTTACCAGCTATTGAGCCTGACTGCTGACGCCCTCCGCTACACCCTGTATACCCGGGACGGGTGTATCGCTGCCATCCACGGGACCACTCATGGAGCAGCGACTGGCGCGAGCGATACTTCTTCTGGACGGTGTCCCCGGATGTCAATGTCCAACTCACTTGGCGCCTACGGGGAAGGACCACCGACTCTTCGTTTCCTTCTTTTGTTTTTCTCTGGTTGCTAAAATTAACCTTTAATAGCCTTTTGTTTGTCAGGCTCTGTGACGACATCGGCTCTCTAGCAGGCCGAGCTGCACCGGGTGCTCGGGATACACGAATGGTTCAGGTCGCTCGACTTCCTCCTCTCGCCGGCGAGCTCACTCGTCCTCTTGTCCCGCATGATACCAGATGTCTCAGGTAACGGTTCTGAATCTTCTGCTTCTGATCCGACGCTGGTCTACACGGAACTCACCCACTAACTCTCCTTCAACAGGTTCTCGAGACCAGATAGCTAAGATATGGGACCTTTATGCCTCGGATGGCCGCTTTTCCAATGCGAGGTTTACGTGGGGTGCTCGGAGGACACCCGTCCAGACGCCGCGCCGGAGGCCTCGAGCCAGTTACCCCGAAGGGGAGGCTTTATCTCGACCTTCGCGCCAGAGGCGCCTCACCGGATCTCTTGTGGTGAGGGTGACATGGTTTCCCGGCCCCTCTCTGGTCCACACGATATTACCTCCACAAACTCTGTTTCTTCTGCCATCTTCGAGGCTTTGAGCGACGCGGATGCTTCTCAATACCAGGGCACCATCAGGGCCACGCGAGTTGATACATCGGTTCCTGCTGCACCGGGCTCGCCGAAGGCGATGAGCGTCTCCTTGGAGTCAGAGCCGACATTCGTGCCTCCTCGTCTGACCGCTCTCTCGACCCGCAAGCTCACCGGATGGCGACTGACTGCCTCAGAGCTCACTCAATCTTTGGATGTGGTAGGTCTTCTTTCTTCGGGACTTCCTCCCTTTCTGCTTTTTGGTTCTTCGTTTCTTACTCGTCGTTTCGCTGTTGACAGAGTCAGCGCTTGCTTGAAAGGCTGGAGCACGAGCTCCACACGGCCGAGCATCGGGAACGAGGCCTGGCAGATAGGACAAGCGAGCTCCAGGCCAAGACTCGGGACCAACTCGCTGAGGCGCAGACCTCTGCCCGAGGGGGAGGACTTGAGCGCGGAGATGGAGCGCATGTCCTTGGCGCTCGTGGATAGCCAGCGGGACCTGGAAGCTCGCAACTCAGAGGTGCAGACGCTCCACCCTACCCTCATGGTATACCAGGGGTTCACTCTCGGGGCCGAGATGGATCTGGCGTTGATGGCTGTCGAGGCCTTCACGAGCAGCCAGAACACGATCTGCATGCTCAGGCGAGAGCTCGAGGAGGAATGACGGCGGAGTAGAGCACGGGGGCCGAGCACATCGGGGGCGGCAGGAGGCAAGAGACGCGGACCCTTCTTCACTGGCGGGATCTTTACGTCCGCCAGATTTTTAAATTAGGATGTCTTGTTTTGGAGACTTTTGTCCCTTGTAAATTTCACTTTCGAACCTGGATCGGTGGCCATTTTTTGGTCTGATTGCTTTTTTTTTAATGCACTTCAGTTTGCTCCATATATCTTCATTTTTTACGCGTTTTTTTATATTTCGCGCTTTACTTCTTTTTGCGGATTCGGCATATCAGCTTTGGGGCCAATACGCTTAATGGTCTCGAAACCTCGAGTTTTGTCGAGTAGAACCACGGCTTGCGGGCCTTCTATGTTTTCCGTGTAGTTAGCCCGTGTAGACCGCTTACTTCATGGAACGCTCGCCGGTGATCCCCCTCCTTCTAGCGCGAACTGTTCGGGAGCAAATTTCGGGGTTCCACGTGGGGGGTGTGTGTTTCGTCCAGGGAGTGGAGCTGTGTCTCCGAGTTTCGTCCTCTGTGGGGGAGGGCGACGAGTCGTTCCGGGGCGGGAGCCTGCTTGGGTCCTGGTCACGGGGGAGTCACAATAATATATCCTACAAACACTACAAAAATGGTCAATCGGGCCTTCGGGAAGACTGAAAGGGGGTTTCTCTCCCGAAGGTTCTCTGACGCCCAAGTCAATGAACGTCTCACTGGGAACAAATACTCCAAAGGGGTAGTTATACAGGTTTGGGGTGAGAAGTCTCGTCTGGGGATCGAGACATCTGTCTGTTCACGAGTGTTTTAAGGGAGTATCCTAAGCAAAAGGGAGAAAATGTGGCTAATATAAAGGCAAGGTTCCGGGTCGAGGAAGACTTATCCTAAGAGGCATTCACTCGAGAGAACTAGAGGTTCCCCCTCGATTATGCTGCTTGCTGAGGCCGTTAGACTCGGTTTCAGATGGATTGCTCTGAGGGTTTTTGGATCCGCTGAGCCAATCCCCTTCTTGTGTGGTGATCTCTCTCCTTTTATACTAGCCATCTCCATGTCCTGTCCTCTCCATTCGGCGTGCCAATGGAGCAAGTGGTAATGATGGTTCCTTGCATGTTCGGGGGAAGCTCGCCAACTGCCGGGAACAGTACGCGGGAGCAGTTCAGCCGAACTAACATGGCGTGTGTCAGTGCCTGTGGCAGTCTAGTCTCCACGTGTCGGGTCCTTCTTGGACCGGATAAAATCGGTCCCAACAGATACATTATCTCACTGTTTTGTTTGAGTGTTTGATTTTTGTTCCTGTTTGTTGGATGAAAAGAAAAAAAATTAAAATTTGTTTTTGTGTTTGTTTGATAAAAGAGAACTCAATAGAAATAATTTAAAAAAAAAACATGTTAGTTTCTTATATGCCACGTGGCAGAATATTAGAGCTGCTTTTGAAAAAAAACTCTTACTTTTATTAGAATAGATCAATTGTTCATGCTATTTGTAGAGTTTTGTAGAATCTATATTGCAGTTCTGGTTTTTATTTTTTTCTGGATTGTATTTTTGTCTTTATTATTTTTATTTAGTGTAGTTAAATTTTTTATTCTCTTTTTCTTGACCAAATTATCAGAATATCACATGGCAGAATATCAGAGCTATTTTTGAAAAAAGGTCTTTACTTTATTAAAATATATGGTTTGTTCCTGCTATTTATAGATTTTTATGCAATCTATATTGCAGTTTTTGTTTTTATTTTTATATGGAATGTATTTAGTTATCTTTATTATTTTTATTTAGTGTACTTAAATTTCTTATTTTCTTTTTCTTGACCTGTTTTTCGTTTAAATATAAATATATAGAATGAAAGTATGACATATGTAAGACTGTAAAGTGCCACATAGTAGCATATCAAAGTTTATTCAAAAAAATATTACTATATTATGTAAGATATATATATATATACTGCTTATATATTATTATAAAATCTCTATTACAGTTTTTGTTTTAATGTTATTTATATATTATTTTAAAATCTATATTGCAATTTTTATTCTTTTTAGATTGTACTTAATTGTCTTAGTTATTTTTATTTAGTGTAGTTGAATTTTTTCTATATGTTTATAATTTTGTTTTTTTAAATATAGATGACACATGTCAGTACTAGGAGTGTCACATGACAGTATTTCAAAACTAACTCTAAAAGAGAATCTTATTATATAAATTTTGTTTGAGTATATGATTTTGTTTCTGTTTGTTGGATGAAAGGAGAAAAATTAAATTTTTTATATGTTTATTTGATAAAAAAGAATTCAATAAAATAGATAAAAAGTGACATATATCTGTTTGTTAGATGTCACGTGGCAAATTTAGAACTGCTTCTGTAAAAAAAAATTTTTACTTTATTAGAATATATAATATGTTCCTGCTATTTATATATTTTTATAGAATCTATATTGCAGTTCTGGTTTTTATTTTTTGTGGATTGTATTAAATTATCTTTATTATTTGTATTTAGTATATATAAACTTTTTCTTTTCTTTTTCTTGACCTGTTTTTCTTTATATGTAAATATATAAAATAAAAATATGACATATGTGAAAGTATAAAATTCCACATAGTAACATATCAAAGTTTATTTAAAAACAATATTACTATATTATATAAAATATAGATATATATATATATATTGTTTATATATTATTATAAAACCTTTATTGCAGTTTTTATTCTTTTTAGATTGTATTTAATTGTCTTAATTATTTTTATTTAGTGTTGTTGAATTTTTTTTATGTGTTTATAATTTTTTAAAAAAAATATAGTTGACACATGTAAATGTTAGGAATACTCCATGACAACATTTCAAAGCTAACTTTAAAAACAATCTTAATATATTAAAATAGATAGATATACATTTTACATTAAGTAAACAATTTATAGTTGTTTTCCTCGCTGGAAATTATAAACCTTGTGTGTATTATCAAAAAAAGAAAAATTAAAAGCCCTATTTGTTAATTATATACAGTATGTACTAAAATAAATAAGATTCCATTGGGCCGCAGGAGAATCTTGAATATTTTATTTCTAAATTTTACGTTTTGTAATTTTGTTTTTTAATGAGGAGAGCCAAAAAGTCTACAAAGTCTTCACGTCACCCTCTCTTCTCGATCTTTGCACCTCTCTTTCTATAAATACTCTCTTCACATCCACCAATATCAACACAGAACCAAAACACGAGACAAATTAGATTCGATTTCATTTAACTCTTACCTATCGACCAATCTTTGGTTCTAGGTGTTCGTAACCATGAGTCTTCTTACAGATCTCGTTAACCTTAACCTCTCAGAGACCACTGACAAAATCATTGCCGAATACATATGGTTCGCCTTCTTCTTCATTCATTAAAATCGTTTTTTTGTTGTTGTTTATGTACTTGTACCCTATACGTGCTTACATCAATCATAAATCCAATGGGCTCGTGTTGTTTTTCCAACTTTTGTTTAATTGTTTTTGTTTTTTATTTATTTGTTTGTGTTTTGAGTTGATTAGATTCTGCTAGAATCACGATGTTTATTTTTTGTTTTGCGCCTTTAGTCGTTCTTATTAGTCATTTAGAATTTGGATCCAATTCGTTTCTGTTTAAAGGATAGTTCCTTCTTAAGATCTCTGTTTAATTCTACTAACTTAGTGAATCTTGGCTCTGTTTTGGCTCTGTTCTTAAGATCTCTGTTTCCTCTGTATTTGGCTCTGTTCTTAAGAAGTAAATATTGAATTTTTGAAATAATTTGTAACCCGTTGGTGTTTCTTTGTTTACTAAATCAGGGTTGGAGGTTCTGGAATGGATATGAGAAGCAAAGCCAGGGTAAATTTGGCAAATTATTTTAACTTTTGTTAATTTTTTTATTTTTAAGTCTAAAACCAAATGTTTTATTTTATTGTAATTTTGTTTATATGTAGACTCTACCTGGACCAGTGAGTGACCCTTCAAAGCTACCAAAGTGGAACTATGATGGTTCAAGCACAGGCCAAGCTCCTGGTGAAGACAGTGAAGTCATCTTATAGTTAATAATATTTTCTTTCTGATCTTAGTTTATACACAAAAGTTTCTCTTTTGTTTTTTTTTTTTTCCGATTCTAGGTTATTAATCGTTTATGTTCTTGATTATGTCTTATTAGCCCTCAAGCCATATTCAAAGATCCTTTCCGTAGAGGCAACAACATTCTTGTGAGTTTTCATCATTCTTGTTGTAGCCATGCTTTGTTACATCTTTCATAACATTTTATACGGTTTTGGATCAGGTCATGTGCGATGCTTACACTCCCGCTGGTGAACCAATCCCAACAAACAAAAGACACGCTGCTGCTAAGGTCTTTAGCCACGCAGATGTTGTAGCAGAAGTGCCATGGTGAGTCTGTGTTTTTGATGATATCGTTTTAATCCGTTTCTGCGAAGTTATTGATAAGATCTTGCTTTGAAAACGTAGGTATGGAATTGAGCAAGAGTACACTTTACTTCAGAAAGATGTCAAGTGGCCTGTTGGTTGGCCTATTGGTGGTTTCCCTGGCCCTCAGGTGAAGAAGATGGATCAATGGTGTTTTTGTTTCTTTTTCGAATGTTCGGTAAATTCTTAAGGTGAAATTATCTTTGCAGGGACCTTACTATTGCAGTGTTGGAGCAGACAAATCTTTTGGGAGAGACATTGTTGATGCTCACTACAAGGCCTGCTTATTCGCTGGAATCAACATTAGTGGCATCAATGGAGAAGTCATGCCTGGTCAGGTTAGCTTTCATCAACCAAGATAGCTTTTGCATAAAGATTCAATCTTTTTGGCTTCGGTATTCAGTTATGACCTTAAACTTAAAATATCAAATCTTTTTCATAAAGCTTCGGTCCTTTTTCTCTTTAATATACAATTATTATGGTCTTAAAGATCAAATCTTTTTCATAAAGCTCTGATCCTTTTTTCTCTTTAATATACAAATTATGATCTTAAAGACCAAAACCCTTAACATAAAGCTTTGAATAAAAGATCAAATCTTTTTTTCATAAAGCTTTGGTCTTTTTTTCTATTTGATATTCAATTATGATTTTAATTACTAAATCTTTTGTGTTGAGAACAGTGGGAGTTCCAAGTTGGTCCAGCTGTTGGTATCTCAGCCGCAGATGAAATCTGGATCGCTCGTTACATTTTGGAGGTAACTTTTTTAACGATTTTAACATTCAACCATCATTGTTTGTTCTGTATATTTCGATTAATAAATACTCTGTTCTTTCTGAAAACAGAGGATCACAGAGATTGCTGGTGTGGTTGTATCTTTTGACCCGAAACCGATTCCAGGTGACTGGAACGGTGCTGGTGCTCACTGCAATTACAGGTACTTATCAAGAATCGGTTTTAATGTTTTGTAACTTTTTGTGCTGATTCAAGAACTTAAAAATGGGTGAATTGTTTCAGTACCAAGTCAATGAGGGAAGATGGTGGTTACGAGATTATCAAGAAAGCAATCGATAAATTGGGACTGAGACACAAAGAACACATTGCTGCTTACGGTGAAGGCAACGAGCGTCGTCTCACTGGACACCACGAGACTGCTGATATTAACACTTTCCTTTGGGTATAAATAACACTTTGATAGTAAAATGGCGAATTTACATTTCGTTTTTAATTTTTTGTAAAGATTCTTATTTTGTTGTTTGAATTAGGGTGTTGCGAACCGTGGAGCATCGATTCGTGTAGGACGTGACACAGAGAAAGAAGGGAAAGGATACTTTGAGGACAGGAGGCCAGCTTCGAACATGGATCCTTACATTGTCACTTCCATGATTGCAGAGACCACAATCTTGTGGAAACCTTGATCAGATCAAAGAAAAATCTTGAATTTTACCCATATTGTTAAGTTTCTTGCAAAAATTCAAACGTTTGTGTGAACTATCAAGCGTTGTCTCGGAATAAGTCAAGATTTGCTCTGTTTTTTTTTTTTGTGGTTTTTATTATTTCCCCATCCATTGAAATCTGTCTTTGTATTAGTATGAAATAAACACTATTTAAAAAGGGCTGATTCGTTTTTACAAACTCTTTTATCACTAGATTGGGAGACAACAAAAACAGGTTAATTGAGATTTCGGCTTTTATTTTATTTTTGGTAATTGGTTTGTTTGGGGATAAAACATATTTTATACTGTATTAAATTGATTTGTATGGTTAAGTTTTTTATAAAAAAAATTCCAAATCAGTTTAACAGAAAATATATATACTGTAAACTATTTAAATTAATTTGTTCGATAAACAAAATTTGGATTAAATTGTATTTAGGCTTTTTCAATGGATATAAAACAAATTAACTCATTATTTCAAAAATAAATTAAGTATTTTTCATAAAAAATTCCAAATTAGTTTAAAATCAAATATAAATAAATATTAAAATTATTCTTTTCGATTAAAAAAATTTGGATTAAATTCTGTTTAAGTTTTTTCGATTGATATAAAACAAATTAACTTATTATTTCTGAAATTCTCTATCTCTGTCAATTTATAGGCGATTTTTTCACCGTTTCAAACTTCGTCTCACCGACTTACATTCCAGTGACCAATCTACTGTATTTTTTACGGTGTTCTCTTCTGGAGCTTCTGCCGGACCTTATCTATCGAATTTCCTTTCTCAAGTTTCAAAACAAGGAGTTACGAAGAATGTTTGGGAAGCGATGTAAAATCTCAGTTTTGGGGGCTGAAAGCCAAATATCGTAACCAACCTCTGACGTGGCTAGGCAGGTTTCTACTGATAACAATCGACTACGCTTGATTGCTATTGCTCTAAACCCGGTGCATCAAAAGTCCTTGGATCTTAAGGTTTTGCTTCATAAGGCCTGGAAAATGGAGGGTAAGATAACAAGCATAATCAACAATGAACGTCTTGGAGCACGGCCCATGGCACTATAACAATTGGATGGTTGTTGTTGATCGATGGATATGAAAGTATGAGCCAGACTTTCTTCACAAAATCACTTTTTGGGTTAAAATCCTGCATATTCTAGAGACTTCAGATCCGATCAAATTATTCAAGAGGTTGGCGATGTATTGGATGTTATTGATGAAATTCGCATCACTGAAACTACCGCTGAAGCCGACAGTGAATTTTGGGTTCATGTACAAAATAATATCAACGAGCGTCTCATTTTTATTTGCTATATAAAGTTTGAACCTGGCATGCCAACAATAGTTCGTTTCGTTGTGGATCCCTAACATATAGCGACATGGTTTGTCAATATGAGGGTGGAGTCTACTATCAAGAGCGAATTGAGGAAGGTGAGTCTGATGCTTCTATGCCATCCCAACAGCTTCATGATTCATAGCTTCCTCTTTATGACATAGGGCCTTCTCGGCAGCATCGTTCTCTAGTCCATGCCTACTCAATGGATGCACTTAATGATTCTCTGATACGTCGATTGGTATGATCATGCCTACTCTGCTTCATGAGGTAGCTTCCAGTGCAACACATCATGCCAACCAATTGCATAGGCAGCATGAGAATGTTGGCAGAGATGATACCATGGATGAAAATGTTAAGCCCACTATTCAACTTGAAGAGCCTATGCGGCATAATGGTTCAGTTGGTGCTGATTTCTAGTTACTAGCTCTCCAAGATCCTTCTCCACATGATGACAATGCTGTTACTAGGGGAACTAAGCGTAATGCTTTGAAGCTAGATACAGATGATGAGGCTTCTACTAATCGACAAAGGAAAAATTCTTAGACTAAGGATAAGACTGTTAATCAAGGGGAGGTGGCAACCCCAAAGCCACCATCGAATCAATGAGACTTTTGCACTGAAACTGTCAAGGTTTGAGGAACCCCTTGATAGTTCAACATCTCCAAGAGATCAGCCGAGCTAAATCTCCTGATATAATGTTCCTCGTGGAAACTAAAAATGAGATGTCATCTGTACAAAGTGTTTGTTCCTCCCTTCACTATCTGCATCACTGTATCATACCAGCTCAATGAACTAGTGGCGGCTTAGCTATATTTCGAGATCAATATGTTCATCTTGATGTATGCAACCCTTCTCTTAATTTTTCAGATGTGTATATCAGAGAAGGTTCCTCTACATATTATATAAATTATGTGGGAAAACGGCCTTTTCATGCCCAAACTTTAGCAATATGTTCGATTTATACCTACAGTTTACCTCCTTCACAGACCATACCCAAATTACTTATTTATTAGAATTTCATACATAAATTTTCAGTTTTTGGAAAAATCATACAAATCTCGTGACGTGGCTAATGATCTGTTAACGGCAGCTGAGATGGCTAATGGTCCGTTAACTCTAAAATGACGTGGATTATCGATATAAACGGTTTTTGTTATCATTAAACCAAGAATTCTAAAAACGACGTCGTTTTATCCAATTTTATACAAACCGACGTCGTTTTGAATCATCTTCAACCTTTAAACTCCGCAGATTTGGGCAAAAAAAATCGTCACGAAAATTTTTTTAGGTTGAATGAGATGTCTTCATCAGCTACTTCAGGTGAGTAATTCTTTAAATTTGGTGTTGTTGTGTTTATTTCGGAGTTTGATTATAGTTAATTGATGATTATCTTCATCTATGAAGGAGTGAGCTACGACGGGAAAAAACACCATGGGCGTGACGGAGGATTCGGAATTCCGAGAAGCTGTCGATGTGGAGAAGCATCTATAATTAGGACTTCAGAGACAGAGAAGAATCCGGGTAGACTTTTCTATTGTTGTCCGTTTGGGTCGAAAGAGGTAAGGCTCTAAAACTAGTTGTTTGATCTGAGAATTTGCATAATTTCATCCTTGTGATTTGCTGATTAAAGATTTTATAGAATAACAATCATTTGTTCAAATGGGTCGACATTTCAATGGTTGAGGAGATGGGAATGGTTGAAAGAGAGGTTGACAAGATGCGAGAGGAAGTTGAGAACTTGGCGATGGAGACAAGGACGTGTGAGGCTGTGGCAAATAAGAATGCAGAAGGATGCAACAAAGAGATTCAAGAGCTTAAGACAATAGTGAATTCTTGTGAGAAGGAGTTAGAAGAACTTAAATCTGCTGCTAGTTGCTGCAAAAACATGATCATGTGTGGTTTGGGATTGGTCTTCTTCATCTATTTCATATTGTAGTGTTGCAGTATTGTATTGTAGTGTTAGCTATTAATTATGGGATTGCTGATTTAGATTAATGGGATTGTTAAGAGAGATTTGAGATTATAATTAAGAGATGTATTTGAGATTTGAGATTTTGCAGTCATAGGGGAAAAAAGTTGTGATGAACAAGCCGAAACCATTGAAAATTTTACATCTGAGGAGGCATTAACAACCAAAGTTATTTTCCATGCCAATTCCAAAATAGAAATAAGCCATGTTTGAGGCATTAACAAGCAATATCTGAAACAGCTTAAGTCAACCCCAAATCAAAAAGAAAAACCAAATCGAATCGATAACCTCCTCTCAAGCTTGTAATCTTTTCATCCCAATCTTCTCCCAAATCCTGCAAAATCGTAACAAGCAGAGGTTGTAACACTAATCAAACCATCATCAAATTCACAAACAATCACCTGTACGAATCACAAATCATCATCTAAATATAAAAAATCACAAAATCATAACAAGCAAAAGTTTTAACACTGATCAAACCATCATAACAAAACAATCACCAAAACAATCCCAAAATCATCATCAATGTATAAAAATCACAAAATAATACCTTCAACCAAGATGAGAACTCTGCGATGCTTGATGTGAACTCTGCGATGGTTGGCTTTGCTGGCTTGGTCCCTCTCCCTCACTAAGACCGGATGGTTGTTTCTTTGGTCTGAGAAAGAAACATCCTGTTTGGTCACATCTTCTTGAGTTATGTCCTGGGAGTCCACACCGTCCACAACATGAAATTCTCCCCTCTACAGCCAGCTTTATCCTCTTCTCTTTAGGCTCGGTTATTACCTTTCCTTTCTTCTTCTTCTGTGGAGACTCACCCTTTCCTTTTTTTCTTTTCTTTTCCTCCTTTGTAGGCAGCCGGTCATCTCTTGATGGTGGTTGAATGGTGGTTTCAAGTGATCTTCTCCAGAAGTTAATTCCATTAACTGGACGGATTGAATCCGTGTATTGCTTCCTCCATTTCGATGTCAAATACCAGTGTGACACATAATTCAGCGGATCACCCTTCCTCTTTGTAATCACTTTCAAAGCATGACGGCAAGGAATACCTGTCATACTCCACCTTCTACAAGCACATGTATTCGATGTCATATCAACTGTGACACCATGACCATTGTCAATTATCTCGTACAGCCCGTTTCCACTAGGAACAACCGGACTATGCTTGCATTTGGTCTTCTCTTCCTTGATGGTATTGGCAACTTTTTCACTATACTTTGTTTTCCACCGCATAGCCTTCGTCTTTCTTAGATCCATACGGATCATAGCTTGCCTTCTTATCGTCTCTAACATCTCTACTAGTGGCATCTCCCTTGCTTTGTTGATTGCATTGTTGTAAGATTTAGAGAAGTTGTTCGATACATCTTCACAAACCGAGTTTGAGCTGAAGAATGCACGGCTACAGTTATACGGATTCTTCTTCATCATAGCTTCATACACGCCAACATCAAAGTCTTTCAATGCTTTGAGAGATTTTTCATAGTCGCCAATGTTGTAACTCTTTACGACTTCCCAAAACTTCTCCTTAGGCAACTCTTTCCCCGAAAAAACTCTTCTTAAGTTTCCATAGATGTGGCGTGCACACATACAATGTTCAATTCTAGGCAGTTCTTGGTCAACTGCATTTAACAAACCCTGCCAAGTTAAATAAAACATGTTAATATTAGAGACAACATTGC